ATTGTATTATTTGCAGATATGCCATTATTCTTTAGGGCGAAAAATATTTAAAAAAATAATATCTTAAAAGATTCTGTTTCGTCAATTTATAAGAACTAAGAAACCATGTAGTAATTAAATTATTGTAAAAAACAACTGCAATTATTTTAAAATACACCCAAGACTCATACTTGATACTAAATAAATAAATATAATATAAGTATACTTTATTTTCTTAAAAGTACGGGATTCCTTTATTCAATTCTTCAACAATCATTAAATTTGGATTGCGTTATGTCTGTTTTATTATCATTACTACCTGAATAATAAACCAATGTTTTTCAATAAATTATTACATTATATAAATAATAAGAAGAATGATAAGAAAATTGATTAGATATGAAACAAAATAAATAATAAACAACACCATGATAAAAATAAAACTTTGGAACGAAGGAATTTGAAATGGACAAATAATTCATATTGATAATTGTTAAACTTAATTTTTATTAATTTACTCAATATCTAAGTTTATTTATTATTTTTTATCTTTACGTTTCGGACAAATTTTTTGCCCATTTTTATTAGCTTATTATTTAGTAATTCTCTTTTTTATAAGACTGTTAAACATTGTCTAGATGCATTAATCTCATTATTTTTTTAAACAATATTTATATATCAAACATTTTTTGAGTTAAGGTATACACAAGGAAATAAATACGTAAATGGAGTTCACTATAATCTATAATATACCTATTAGATTACTTGAAATAATTTTCTCAAATCATAGTTTTAAAAAATAATGAGATTAATATATACATATAAAGTTCTCCAATGTTAGATAATTAATAAATAATGTGGTTTTGAAAATGGTCAAAACATAATTCCGAAACGTAAAGATAAAAAATAAAAATAATACGAAGACCTAAGTAACTCTTCCTGCAATAAATCATAATAAATAAAACCTCGACATTGAATTATTTGTTCGTCTATTAAAAATTTCTTCGGTCAAAAGTTTTATTTTTGTCATAATTTATTTTACTTTTTTTCATATCTAATCAATTTTCTTATCATTCTTTTTCTTATTTACATAATGAAATAATTTTTTGATAAGCACTTATTTATTGTTCATGTAAAAATAATAATCTAACCGAAGCATAACTAAGTTATTTATCCAAAGTTAAAAAAAATAAGCCCAACATGTAAAGATAAAAAATAAAAATAATATAAAGATCTAAGCAACAGTTCCTAAAATAATTTATATTAAATAACTCATGGGCCTTCAAATAAGAAAATACTGCGAAAAAATATCATTAGATACTTTATAGTTTTTTTGTTGGTTTGAATTTTTTTTTATAACTTGCATACCTATTTGCTACCTGAAAAGTGTTCTAAATTGTATGGAATTCAGTGAATTGATAATGTATTTTTTAATTTTGTTTAAACTATACATTTCCTTTGCTTCCTGGAAGTACTATTATTCTGAAAGTTTTGGAATGCCAACTAAATTTGGCTTGCTCCTTTCCCTCACCAGATTTAGACGCCTTGCTTTTTCTGGTTATGAAGAGACTTCTATTCAGGGAACCGTGCCAATCCCACAACCGTCGGATCTTATCTCGAGATAAGGAGCTCTTTATCTCTACTCAATGAGAGGTATCTCTGCCGCCATGAGGTGAAGATGGTATCTACACTCATCATCTTTCACTGGTACCTGGTACTTACAGTTCGTATTCTGTCCGGCGCCTTGTAGTCCGCTCAAATCAGGAAGCTGAAAATTAATTACAAACTATTATTATAGTATGGCATCTTAAACAGTACGAATAAGAAGTACGGCGTCTGTTTAAGACCACACGATAAACCTGAAAACGTCAAAAAGCCAGGATCAATAATATGAAATACTAGTTGGGCCGTGCGAATATTTCGCAGAAACATTTTTTTAGTGAAGAAATGTGTAAATAAGTAAATCCTATGTATTATGTAAGGAAGGAATTAATATTTTTTCCTTGTTCGATTACAATATTCCATTTAACATAATAGACCAAAATATTTTTACAAATTGCTTTGCTAGGACGTATTTTTAAATGCTGACTAAAGAGATAATAAAAGTAATAAGGACAAAATAATACCTCGAACATGAGATTTTCTAAATTATTAAAAAAAATAAAAAGATGTAAGGACAAACAAATGCCTTAATAAGAAATAATTAAGTTGATATATTAGCCAAGAAAAAAAGTGTAGTAGACTATTCTACTCCTAAATGCAATACCTTTAAAGAGGAAGACATTATTAAGTATACTAAAACTAATGGACAGTATCTTTGTTAATAATTGTCCGACTTTTTTCTTGTTTTGTAGGTAAATTAGTAATCTTTCTAATTATCAAGGGTACAATCTAAATCTAAACTCTGTTTCTCATTAAAAAAATATTTCTAATCGATTTTTTCGATTTTTTTTTTTTTTTTTTTGTTTCGTAGGTAATTTAGCAATCTTTCTAATTATCATGGGTACAATGCAGAAAGAAATGCATACTTTTTCAGTTATTCACAAATAAAGTTTCTTTTCCTTCATAAGGTTTTTCCGAGACATTTCGGAAGAATAGGACTATTTTTCGCATGTGAAGGAGAAGAATATCTTCAAAATGAGTGGTCAATCATTGGATTTGATGAAGAATTGACGAAGTTATGGCTTACCGACAAGAAAACACCTTTTATAAATAATATCTAGGATAAATATTTCTTTGTTCTTTATTCACAAAGTAATAACATTATATTACTTTACAAAATTATGACTGTGTGTAAATTACATTTGTATCATATTCTAAAAATGAAAAAAAAGGGTTATGATAACTAAAATATGCGATGAATTCTTTTTATTGAAATCTATCTGCTAAATATCTAACAAAACTTCCTTCGATCGTTGTTCCGTATTTTGTGATTTCACTAGGATCCAATCTATTATCCAAATGTGATGTAGATTTTTAAAAAATATCAACTTCGGTGTGTCTTTTGAGAAATTCTCACTCAAAATCATTGATAATGTGTGAAGGTTTCGTCTGTGAAGATCATATCCTGCTTTGGTGTAGATTAGTAAATTTTCATGGATGAATTTCTTGATGTTCATTATACTTTGATTAGGAGAGATATAAATTAGTATAAGATCATTATGCAGTATTGATACTTATTTTTAATAAAATATCTGTAAACGGGATAAGTAATTTGTCGAAACATCTGGTTATCATCATCATCTGGTTTTTGAAACTATATTTTTCGCTTTTTGTCTCTCTAACACAGCGTCGTGTCAAGATACAATTTTGAATGAACCCTTATTAAAAAGAGGATGCAGTGCTGAACGTTCCCCTCGTTAGAGCATGCAGGTCCGATTTTTAGTCTCAGCTATTTTAATCCAAAAGAGATTTTACCTAAATGAGTGGTACATAGCTCAGGGCGCTGATATATAGGACCAGAAATATCACTAAAATTATTAATAAAAAATGTTGAAATTAGAATTAGTGATTCTGCCAACTGAATAGCTCATTTAATAGTTGCGCTCTAATATTAATAGAGTCATTTTCATTGCTATTTAACTATGCAAAGCTCATTACTGAATTTGTTCCCCTTAACTTGGATGGTGATAACACCTTGTTGAAGATATAATTGAGATATCAGAAGTGATTGTTACACTCGTATTTATATTATTTTCATTTATTGTTTCCTTCGGTAAGTCGTAAACTTCTCTTTATTACCTCGCTACTGATTCCATTCTCCTTCAAACAGAGAGTATTAAATTTCGTCATAAACATAATCTCTTTCTTCTAAAATAACCTGAATACTGAATAATCGTGAAAATATATCGCTCATAACTCTTAATCTACAATTTTTCATGTTTTTCATTTTAAATTTATATAAGAAGATGGCCTCGGGTCCTTCTAATATAGAAATATAATTGGAGTGCTACCAATGGGTAGTTTCTCCTCATGTTGTGCATGTCATATTACTTGTTCATATTTACTTGTTGTATTTATTATTAATTGCAGTTGTAAATTTCATAAAAAAAAAAAAATTAAATTGTGTATTGATTTAAATTGGAACAGTGCGAATGGGTAGTACTTTCACAAGTTAATGTCATGCTTTATAATCTAACTTCGAATTAATTTTTTCTATTTTATGAATACAATAATTAACCTGAAACAAAAAAAAAAAGCTTTTTTTTATAGAAAACTCATGGATTAAAAATTTTGACTTTATATACCGTTTAAGAACTTCGAATTTTATTTAAAAAAATACAATTTCTTTACTTCCAATAAAATTTAATAAAAAATAGAATATAAATGTACACACTTTAAAAGTAGCTCTTCAAAGATAACTTTATGGATGCAATTATACATAGATATTCATCTTATGAATATGTGGTGTTGCCCAAATGCGAGACTTGGTCGTGGTCTTGATCTTGCGCAAGAGTCTTGCAGTTACTTATTAGCTTATTACTATAGTGATATTACTGTAATTTTTTAGATAGGAGAAACCTAACTAAGCCCGAATGAAAAATTAGAGGAGTTAAATGAAAAGTATATTGGTTATACCAATTATTAACGTATAGTAACTAAAATTTTACCAGTTCTGGTCTTGGTCTTGGTCAACACTAATGCTGTGAAATAGTAATGTATTATAATACTGAAATTGAACACAAATATTTAAAAACTTCCAAAACACTTTTTGGAATGTTTGTCGATGTGCTTCAATTACATTAGCTTTTATCTGCAGATCTTTATTATTGAAGTTTAACATTTTAAAAATACCATGACAGATTGTAAATCATATTTATAAACTGTTGGATTACTAAATATATGCATTGAACCTTTGCGTATCAAACATTATTGATTATTGAAGTTGCGCTGAGCCCTTAACGTTTTAAAATCATATGCACATATTAGGTTTGTAGGTATTTGAGTATTCGCACGTTTCAACAAGTTGTATTATGTTATTATACCACCATTTCCGTTTAATTCGACTTATATATGTTAGAATGTTATTCGTGTGGGAGCGTATCATATTGAACAAAATCGGTGTATCAAACTATGTTGAAAATGTGGTTCGGAATGCAGTTAAGCGACCTTCATTGGCCGGAAATGCTTCGGACCCAGGCATTCGGCCACCCCTGCCTATGGCTCTGCCTTATGAGTCATAATTGTACTTCTTAAATAGTAATAAAAATATTGATACTTACTATTTATTCACGCAGTAATTATTTATAAAATTAACATATAAATAGAAAGAAGAAAATAGTAAATAAAGATTGATAGGGATGAGATATGGTAGAGGTAGGAGTACGTATGTCAGTTTTGGGTTAGTGAAAATAAGAGTAAAAATGACATAAGAATTGTGGTTATATCCGCCATTAATCAGAAAGGAAACGATACGATAGTTGACACAACAAGAATATTTTAAACGAACGATGAAGATAAAGACCTCAAGATACGAATAGAGGAAGATGAAGCAAATAAAAAAAAAAAAATGCATTTCACACATACAGTTAAAATATAGAGAGGGATTTGACGAGAGAGAGGAGACTTTGGTTCGGAAATTGGAGAACGATTCATCTTTCAACTGGTATTTTTTTTAAAAGCTGGATGCTGAAAGAAATCAGCTACAGAATATGACGGATAATATTATTTTCAATACCACATATATTAATGTTGGCCTTCGCGTTATTAATTCTAGGGACAGATACAAAAGAAAAAAAATGATGAAAAAGGTAAGAAAAAAAAATCATTGAATTCGGTATTTAGGATGACTAGTGTTCGCCCAGTGGTCGAAATTCGACCATAGCAATTAAAAATTTGAGGAAAAGATATAATTAAATAAAAAATAAATAAAGAGTAAATCACGATTCAAAAATCCTCATTTATTAATACAAACAAAATTTCAATTTCAATTAAAAATCGAGCTTAAGTCATTTAAAATTATTTATAAGTAATACAAAATAGACTCATTCAAAAATATTTATTTGTCATTTTAATTTATGTGTGTTATTATCACAATAAATTAATGTTATGATTAAGCAAGTAAAAAATAAATTTAAATTAGCAATTTAAATTCACTTTAAATCCATTTTTATTCAGAACTTCTATGTAAATAATGTTCTTTTTGAATGTTCTGTTATTGTTTAGTGCATAGCCATACCCATTGCCATTGAAAATATAAATTTTAATATTTTAAATGAACGTGCTCTAATTGCTGCCACATATGGGAAATTATTGGATGTCACAATAATATACACAGTTTTCCAAAACTTTTATTCTGCGATTTGATTATGGTCATAGCAAATGCAGCTATAAATAGGAACGTTGTTCTTTGAAAGTCGAATGTAAGTATAGTGTCAGAAAATTATAATTAATTCTTGAAATTAAAATTCTTTAAATTACACTAGCCCCCGTTAATACTTCAATCTCATTCCTGTTCCATTAACTAATGCTTGTGTAGTATTTAAGTTAACAATGAGTATAATTATAAAATATATTTTTAAATTTAATTTATGCGGTATCATTCCACTAACATTAAATGATATCATCGCTTCAAATAATAGAACCAATTACCTTAGTAAATTAAAAGTTTTCGATTTATCAAAAAAAGAAAATAAAAAAATGTGCACTTTTTGAGTTATTCGCAAATAAAATTAGGGACAGAATTCATCATAAAAATATATGCAGCTTGTTTTCAGGAAAGTATGTTATATACATAAATTATAAAGGTTTCAAGGGGAAGACTTTAGCCAAGTTTCATTGAAATCGTTGAAGCCGTATTGGCGCTACAGTCTAAAGCGAATCACGTTTTTCGGCCGCCATTTCGAAAGGAAAGGCCCGATGATAATGAAACGTATACAAAAAAACTTCTAAATATTATTGCGACGTTGTGTCAAAATTTAAAAAAAATCGATGAAGAACTTTCGGAGATAAGCCGTTTTGAACAAACTACCATTTATATTTTTATTCACATACTATTTAATATTTTTATTTATTGATAACACTAAAGCTCGTCAATATCTATTAAACAAAAAAAGAAGGAAGAAAATCGGTTGAATAATAGAGGAGTAAAAGGGGCTGAACCGAATTGTGTTTGCCTATTTATATAATGATAATACCGTAACACTTTATTCCTTTTGTTCATAAATATTATCGAAGGATGAGTATGTGTTGTTTAGCAACTCAACAAAGTTGATCAGCCTTAAAGTTTTATTGTTTCCCTCTAATTTTCATGAATAAACAAATTTACAATTATTAACTATATATTTGCTAAAATATTGATAATTATTGCAATAATAATTGCAACTGTAGGAATAATAATATATTTTTTTGATTGGTTTATATCTACAATCTTATAATTTTACAGGAAGACAAATTAAACCTAATAATTTAATGAATAATATGCTATAAGTTAAAATATTATGAATCTTACGTTCATAATAATAAAATTATAAAAAGGAGTATCAGTATATGATATGCATTGTATATTTTATAAGTTGCAACTTTTCTTATATAATATAAGTTGCTTTGTATATTTTATAAGTTGGAATAATTCTTCCTAGACCAATTCAAATTAATATTTTATACAGAATGTATTTGCTAATAATAAACAATATATTATTGGCGGGTCCAGAATTTAAGTTTGGGGAGGAGGAGGTACATAAGTACCAAACCTCGTGGTGTATTTATAACGATCATTACTTTGGAAGAAAAAGAAAGAAACTAACTACCTATATATATTGGCGTTTAAGTGATTCTTGAAGTCCTCTTAAATGTAATTATACAAATAGTAATACTTTAAAAGATCATTTTTAAATATTTCTTTTCATAATACTTGGTTATATTTTACTCGGGTTTTTTTTGGGGGGGGGAGGGAGATCTCAGCCCGAAAGCCCCCCCCCCTTCAGTTCCGAATGCTTACTGTATTTTTTAATGGTGTATTCTGGTTTGTTGTTCATATGATCGGTATGTGCCATTGACACACAGGAAATAACTTTTCATTTCCCATTGCGTTAATCTTGATAAGAACGAAACTCCGACCTTTGGTCTAGTAATTACGTGAAGATTTCCGTTTATTATTATTATTATGTTAGATGCAGGGTTTGAAATCGATAATTAAAAAAAAATCAAATTCAAATATGATCAAACTTTTTAAAAATTATTTGATGATTTTGATTAAGAGCTATTTTCATTTTTGATTATAAGCTATAAAAAACATATCCTGATCATTATTTCTGGACAATTTTTTTACAATTAAATATTAAAAAAAATCCTGATTAATACTTTCATAAATTAGAAATATATATTTTTTTTGTAATCTTTATGATATATTTTGAATCTAGAGAAGCACGAGGGTGGTCTGAAAAGTTTCCGACCTAACAAAAATTCAAGATATTTTTTCTGATTTTTTTTTTATTTTTCAACATAGTCTCCTTGCAACTCTACACACTTCTCCCAGCGATGCTTCCATCTCTGTGACCCGTTCAAAAAGCACTCAGCGTATTTCTCTGCAAAATAATTGTTCACGAAGGTGATTTTCTCTTCATTTGACGAAATATCTGTCCTCCGAGCAGCAATTTTTAGATAAGGGGACAAAAGGAAGTCGCTTGGGGCTAGATCTGGTGAGTAAGGCGGATGGTCAAGCAGTTCAAACCGTAATTCGTGGATTTTCGCCATGGCAACCGCTGAGGTGTGAGACGTTGCGTTGTCTTGGTGAAACAGGATTTTCTTTTTCTGCAAATGCCGTTTTTTCGCAAGTTCTGTCTTCAGCTTGTCAAGTGATGGTGCGAATCATGCTCCTGTAATGGTTTTTCCTTTTTGAAGATAGTCGATTAAAATAACTTCATGACTATCCCCCCAAAAAAACAGTCGCCATCACTTTCCCTGCCAAGAAAACAGTTTTTGCTTTTTTTGGAGCCGGTTTCCCCTTTGCAGTCCACTGTTATGGGCTGTATTTTTGTTTCGTAGGTGGAGAATATTGTTGTCAACTATTATCAACAGAACATCTTTATTTTACTAAATTTACTGAAACTTTAGGATTACAAAAAAAAAAACAATATATGCACTCAAACACACACATATATATAGTGCAGGTACCGCGTGCACAATTAAAGCGATTTCAGAAATATAATATTAAAATTAGTCAATTAATATCGTATACATACATATTAATATTTAATTTAATTTGCGCGTAGAAGACAATTTTTAATTTCTGATCAATATTCTTTTATTCACAATTTAATCATTATTATTTATGAAAATCGTATCACTTAGTGAGTGGTCATTATTTTTAATGGAATAAATCAACATTAAAAATGTTTATACGATTTTGTGAAAAAAAATAATTATCGAATTCAAACACTGGTCAGATGTTTTGAACATAGAAGTTATCCTTTTAATTCTTAGTCGTTTTATTTATTTCTATTGCTCTTAATTTTTTTTTCACACAAGAATTTTTATCGAATAGTTTTGATGGTAATTTTGATTATTTAGAATTTCTAATAACGTATTATAAACTAGCATACATTATAAATAAGGTGTCCATTGGACAAGCCCTTAAGAAATAGAAGGAGAAATATAGTTGTGTGAAGATTGGTGAGCATTTCTTATTCACCCTGAAATTTGAAAATGGTCTGTTAGTCATTTCTTCAGACGAATATGACACGCAATACATGCTGAGGAAACTTAATAGACTAGGAGTTAGCGACGATGTCATTTAACTAAAGGACTTACAGCTAATAACCACTTTAAATTGTAGATAAACCTCATCTGAACACTCATCGTTTGGTCAATCGTTTGAAAGCCGTTGCTTTCTATACGAAAATTTAAACTAAAGTGACGAAATTTGCCGTTTCATTTAACGGATCAACTGACTGCTGAAATGTTGTAAATAATGTGTCCCTAAAAGCGAATTCGCCTTGACTGACGATGTACTTGGTAGCGTTTTGAAAATTGACTGCGTCAACGTCATCAACTCAGTCCAGTCGAATGGTAGTTGAATGTGGAAAAAAAAACAACTAAAGTGTGTGCTTTAGATCACACGATAGAAGTGAAACATCAACAAGGCGAGATTAATAATATGAAATATATATTATAAATAATATCTTTATATATTAAATGAAATACCCCTCGCTTTCAGTGTACAAGTCTGATTTTTAATGTCTAGGATATTTTAATCCATATCTTCAATAATACTTGTTATCATTTGGTTTTCGACACTATGTTTTCCTTTACGCCTCTCTATCACCGCTTCGCGTTAAATAAAATTTTGGAAATAGCCCATTGCAAAGAGGATGAAATGCGGAACATTTCCGCTTACAATATGCTGGTTCGATTTTTAGTTTCTTAAATGCTTTAATCCATATGTTCTACTACACTTGTTATCATTTCGTTTTCGATAATATTGTTTTCTTTTCTCCTTCCTAAAAAGGCCTCGCGTTTAGATAAAATTTTGAATTATATCCTATTACAGAGAGCATGGAATACTGAATAATTTTCTCACTTACAGTACGCTGGCCAAATTTTCAGTTTTCGAGATATTTTAATCCATATGTAAAAACATAATAGTCGACTTTATCCGAGCGTTAAGATTTAGGTAATCTGACGGATCAATCTAATTCATTCTCCACAAAAAAGTGCAAAACCCGCCTAAAGAAGTTATAACTTCAAAAATTCAAATAGTCGGTTTCTCTTTGGATTTTTTTTTTTATTTTTTTTGAAGTTCTGAATCTGAATTTGAAGTTCTTAAGCAAAATTTCATTACGTTTCGAGACATATGCAAAAAATAAGCGAAATTTCTGCATATTTTATAGTTTTTTGGCCAAAACTCCGAAACTATGCACTTAATGGAAATTATTATTTCATAAAATATAGCTTTTTGATGAAGGACCGACGAGTTAGCAGATGGAGTAATTTACTGTTTGCTTATGACCACGTAATGAAGATGGAACATGACGGATAGTCAAATAAAGTTTTCCTACACAAGCTATAGAAAGAAGAAGGGACAGCCAAGAAAGATCTGGATAGAAGAAGTGAAATAGCAAATAGCAAATGGCTACAAGAGTATTGCGAGAGAAGGGATCTTTTGATAGGAGAGTGTGGCGAGAGGAAATTCTAGAATTCGGAATACAATAATTATACACAATCGAAATAAATACAAATTATAAATTATCGATAGAAATAAAGAATAAAAACCACTTTACAAAGCATCTTATCCCTCATCTTCCTTCATATTGCACTAGTCGAGAAGCTGAAACGATGTTGGCGAGGTAAACCTGTTACTAAAAACTGCACTTGGCCGATGGGCGTCCTCAAAGGGTAATTGAGGTCGCTCCATTAATGCTCAAAGGATAATCATTAACCTCAGTATTTATAAACATAACCTCGAAATATATTTGTGTAAGTATCGATTGGTTATTTCAGATCAGTGTCACCTTGGCTCGATCAATCCCGGTCTATTCCTGTCAACGCCCAACTGCCATCGCTATCTCCGCTAAGAATGGACCGTATCGCTTCTGGCTTCCAAGAAATTGCTTTAATCAAGGTATCCGCATTCGTGGGCCAATTTAGTTTTAGTATGCTTCTTAAATCTCTCTGTACCTGCAATAGGAAGGTATCAATAATGTATTTGTAAAGTATTTGAAAAACGCCTGCCAAGTAGAATGAACTTGGGAATAAAATCTTATGGAAGAGTCATTTTGTTAATATGATCCTACTTAACTTTGAACCTAAACGACTACCCCTGTTTCAAATATAAGTGTATCAAGAAAAATCTGCGAAAGCAAAATTAATGGATAAAGTGAGAAAAATTGGGGTATCAGCCACGCGTACTATACTTCAACTTTAAGCTGAATCGGGCTAGCCATTTCTGAAATATAATATTGTCAAAGAGAACATGTTTGCACACATTTAAGCGAAATCGGAATCAACCAAATTTTTTAATTGAATTTGGGGCATTTTACCTTAAACTTTTTAAGTCTTGCGTTGTTTTTAGACCAAATCGCACATGCAGTTTTGAAATACAGTGTTAGGGGAAACATATTTGCGCATGCGTAGGAATATTTAAACTGTTTCCCTCCATTTACCTTTTCGGCTCATTTTCAGTTCGTCGAAGACCTGTTATAAAAAGAAATATTTCAACTTTTGAAACCTAAATATGTGATAATTATTCCATGAGAACCATAACACCTATGTGGCTTTTGAAAATTTATCCAGGCTTGAACTCGAGTGGCAATTTATCCAGCAAATTTTGAAACTACCTGGGTTTTGAAATCTCCAATTTTTTTCGATGACTTTTATTAAAATTGTAGGAATTTAAGAATTAAAATTGGTCAATACTGATATTAGTACCAGTCATATTATTACAAGCCGATATTAGGACATTCTTGGGGTGTAGTATTGGTTAAAGGAAATAGTATGAAACTGAAAGTTTCCCATATACCGAAACAAGTTTGATAGGATTGAATATCAAACTAAAGGCTTTAGATGAGTGATATCTTTTCTTAAACAACCTGAGTAATTGAAACAAGTCAGGGAAACAAGTCTCCTGAGTACTATTCTTCCCCATGCCTGACATGTCATTATTTCTCGTATTTCAGCACATTTGCTGATTGTCGACACAAGTTGACAGGTGCAAATAAATATTCAAAGCCAAAAAACCACACTCTGAACATTAGTATAGCTTTAAAATTCATTTAAGGATATGGTGTGAAGTTTTTAAGTAATTGAATTACGCCATGATTTTTAAGTGATTCTCGGACTGACACCAGTTTAAATGAAACTAGCATAGTTACTCCACCTGGCGTTAATAACGAACGAGGTGCAAATTGGTCTCGTATCTCTCTTCTAACAAGTTCATGGAAATATTAAAATAAGAGGAGCTCCGCTAATAGCGGAAATTTCTGCTCCTGAACGCTGCGAATCCTGTTGGTTCGGTTATGAAATGGTTTTGTTTTCCTTAGCTAGACGATATTTCGTTGGATAAGGCAATCTTTATGGACCGAGCTGTGCAGAATAGCCCGCCAGTGATGTCAGTCACGGGGATAGCTCGCAGGTAAACAGCTCACTAATTACCTTCTCTTCCTCGCTAATTGTTCCATCTTCGAGACAATGGGGAGTGTGGCGAAGCGTCCTATTTATGGATTACTGGAGTTTATCGCTCGGGGATTTCATGCTTTCAGTTCTAGCACCTGTCGAAGGACCTATTACATTCTGTTGTTTTGCTTTTTGAATGCCAAGAAGGCTACTGACCAGGCCAAAATATGAGCACATAAGCATGACATTTTTAAAAACAGTACTTCAAGAAATATAGGTTTCATTCATTTTTGAATATCTTAGTACTGATTTTTATATCAAAAATAAAAGTATTAATTTCATGCTTTCAGTTCTAGCACCTGTCGAAGGACCTATTACATTCTGTTGTTTTACTTTTTGAATGCCAAGAAGGCTACTGACCAGGCCAAAATATGAGCACATAAGCATGACATTTTTAAAAACAGTACTTCAGGAAATATAGGTTTCATTCATTTTTGAATATCTTAGTACTGATTTTTATATCAAAAATAAAAGTATTAATTTCATGCTTTCAGTTCTAGCACCTGTCGAAGGACCTATTACATTCTGTTGTTTTACTTTTTGAATGCCAAGAAGGCTACTGACCAGGCCAAAATATGAGCACATAAGCATGACATTTTTAAAAACAGTACTTCAAGAAATATAGGTTTCATTCATTTTTGAATATCTTAGTACTGATTTTTATATCAAAAATAAAAGTATTAATTTCATGCTTTCAGTTCTAGCACCTGTCGAAGGACCTATTACATTCTGTTGTTTTACTTTTTGAATGCCAAGAAGGCTACTGACCAGGCCAAAATATGAGCACATAAGCATGACATTTTTAAAAACAGTACTTCAGGAAATATAGGTTTCATTCATTTTTGAATATCTTAGTACTGATTTTTATATCAAAAATAAAAGTATTAATTTCATGCTTTCAGTTCTAGCACCTGTCGAAGGACCTATTACATTCTGTTGTTTTGCTTTTTGAATGCCAAGAAGGCTACTGACCAGGCCAAAATATGAGCACATAAGCATGACATTTTTAAAAACAGTACTTCAGGAAATATAGGTTTCATTCATTTTTGAATATCTTAGTACTGATTTTTATATCAAAAATAAAAGTATTAATATCATGCTTTCAGTTCTAGCACCTGTCGAAGGACCTCTTACATTCTGTTGTTTTGCTTTTTAAATGCCAAGAAGGCTACTGAGCAGGCCAAAATATGAGCACATAAGCATGAAATTTTTAAACACAGTACTTCAGGAAATATAGGTTTCATTCATTTTTGAATATCTTAGTACTGATTTTTATATCAAAAATAAAAGTATTAATTTATTAATGTTTATATAAAATTGATATTTATATGTATGTACATAAGTTCCGGCGCCAAAGGTCAGTGTAATATTGTAACAGTGTTGCATGGAGAGAGGAAGAAGGGTGTCAGGCCATATGTAAAGGAGTAGCTCAGTGATCAGTTTGTTACCTGAATTATAATATAATACATAATATTCTTCAAAAAATATTTTTTTGCTTTTACGCCGTGTTCGTTAATTTTTCATGTAACCCAATGTAAGGCCTTCATTGGAAAGATTATTTTCTCCTTCAGGTGGGAGAAGAATTACCACATCTCCCAGATAAATAAGGAAACAATTTTGAGAATAGATAATTTTATCGCATAACTTGAACTATGTAATGCCCATTCGTGTAAACTCGGCTAGAGTAGACTAATTTTTGCATTTGGATTAAAATATCTCAGAAACTAAAAATAGGACCTACATATTGTAAGCGAGGGAATTGTTCAGCATTTCGTCGTAATGAGCTATAATTCAAAATTGTATTTTGACGTGACGCCGAGTTGAGTCGGAAAGATAAAAAAAAGAGCCAAGAAAGTGCCTTGCTCCCCTAATACCGGCGCCTATGTGTATATATACAAATATTTTCAGCTGGTAAAGGGATTACAAATACAAGACATCGATTTTTTCAGTTTACTTTGTGATTTTATTTAGCAGTTTGACATGTTTGCATTTAGTGAGGATCGTTGATATTATACTTACTTTAACTTTCCTCTTAATCGTTTTGTTTCATCTGCTATAATTGTTTCACTTTTATACTCACAATGCGACATTTTAAAAATAATATTAACGTTCTTGTTGTACGTTATAAAGACTTTACCTAACCTCTTTCTCACATTCCTCTTGAAGGTCCAGTAGAAAATTCTTCCGTCAAAGGAATTCCTTCGAAGATGATGGCACCCATGTCCTCGTAGTGCCGGGTCACGTGTCCACAGCGACACGTGGACGCAGGCCATTGTTCTCCAGAGAATCTCTTCAGGTGTCATAAAACTGACGTAATCCAACACACTCTGCGGTTTTAGTTCCCTCTGTCTATCTTTAGATCTTCTTAGGCGGTTCTTACTCGAACTAGTTCGGGGCAGGATTATCTGGTTGTTTCACATAATTTCTTCTGGGGTTAATATAAGTTGTCAAAATGAATTTAAATCGGATTTTTAAAAGTTAGAATCTCCCAGAATTACACAATGGAAACCAACAACCTAATAAATAATACTAAAAGTGAATTGGAAAAGCCAAAAGAATCTTTAAAAAATAGAGAGCCACAAAGAACAGATTTGTTTAATTGATTAAATTGAATTTAAATCTTTTTCATATATTTTGTTTTTAACTTGAAAATTTATTCACACCTATCATAATAGTAATGACAATCAGTGAATTGCATATTCATTACCAAATATGATGGCGTGAGAGGCATGGGGGAGAGCAGTACCCAGCGGCAACTCCTCCTGGCGTGATATTTACATTAATTGGTAGCCAAGGAGGTCCCTCATCCAGTTTCTCTTCAGCCTTCTCCGGACGCTACATGTGTGATATGGCCTTATCATTTATAAGTATGTTGGAGTGTCCTTATAATTTTTCATGGAATCGCTTGTAATGGGTTCGTATGTGTTCGTTAACAGTCGGTATATGAAGGTCTGTGTGTAAGGTTATGTTGCTGACGTACCAAGGTGCTTTTGTAATTGTCCTGAATGATTTTGCTTGAAAGATATTTACTGTTCCAAATATCTGTGATGCGTAAGTCCAAATAGGTTTATAATGAATAAACCGCGTTTATGGTGGGTTTATTCATTGTATGATCAAATAATAAATTTGTAATATCTATTTGAAATATTATGACAAATATGAAATTGTGTGTTCAATATCAGTCTAAGTTTTAGTTTGTGTTGCCATGGAAGTTAATTTCGAATTCTTAGTCTTTGATTTAGTGTTTTTCGTTTTTTCGTGATATGGGGCCCCAAGTAATTTTTCGATCAAATGTCGTCTCATCAAGGTAGTAAACGCTGTCCGCGGAAACTGTGCATTATCTTGGATTACTGGATGGCATGTTTCATGTCGAAGGACAAGCGAATTATGCTGTGACTCAGGAGAAATCCGATTAAAGGTACAAGATAAGACAAATCGCTGCATATCACATTTGATTATTGAATTATTAATCGTCATATCATTATTAATCTTAATATCAATTGTGTTAAAGTTTAATGATTGTCTAGGATTTATCTTAGGAATCCTCAGAGATACTATTCCGAAAAATCCTTTTATCACCCATTCCCACTGCCTTTTTGTATTTCCGAAATTTTAAACTCAAACCTAAGATTTACTTCTCCAATACAAGTCCCTTTTGCCCCAGTCATTCTCATATCCCTGCATGGTTACAAACCCACGAGAAACCGTTTCGAAGGCCTTAACGAAATCATTGCGGAACTTCGTTATTGGCAGTGTTCTGTCTTACTTCAAGCTGATAGTCCGTGATACAGACCCCTTTTTATCAAATTATTAACATCCGGCTGAAACTTCGTAAATAGCTTCATCTCATCGTAACATAGAAATATTTTATTTACGAAAATTCTCGGAATTGGAGGTTTTCAATCTGGAGGTCGGCAAACTTTGTCTATTTGATTAGGTACTAAAAACTCGTGAATACTCATTTGCTTTCCTCTTCAATCGTAAATTGGGCCGTTTGGCGTGACCTACACCCCAAAATTGTCAAAATAACGAGGTTATATAGGCCGAACGGCTCCATATATTTAAAGACCGCCTTTTCTCTCGACTTTGTGCTCAAGTTATCTCATGATTAAAGTGGAAAGAAAATGTATATTTACGAGTTTTTAGTACCTAATTAAATAGACAAAGTTTGCCGACCTTCAGATAGAAAACGCCCCAATTCCGAGAATTTTCGTAAATGAAATGTTTGTAGGTTGAAGCTATTTACGAAGTTTCAGTCGGATGTTAATAATTTGATAAAAAGGTGACTGTACCACGGACTATGCTATTATATTACCTCTATTATAAATATAGGTAAGCTTGTGTTTTTTATTTTTATTTATTTTTAGGTGATTTAATTTTTATTTATTTTAAATACTTTTTGATAATTACTTACTTGTTATTTTGCTTCTGTTGTACATGTAGTGTGAATGTAGTCTTACCTCACTATAACCATTGTCCATATGACAGAATGTTATATTACTCATTAAATAAATAAAATTCAATTGTGTGTTGCGGATTTGAACTTGACTTACTTCTTATGTTCAACAATGGTTAAGAGGCCTGTTCAATTGTCTTGTCCTTCCACTGGTTTTGTTGTTAATGTTTTTAATAATAGGTTAAAATCTCGTTTCGTAGTGTTGACTATTGCTCTTAGCCGTAACGTTTTGCCAATGCGATTCTCGGCTGTAGACGGATGTCTACTAAGAATACTACAGGATTTCAATGTAAAAAAATAGTTTCCACATGGTCTATGATTAGATTCAATTACACATTTTCCCAGTTTTTGTTTTTGCTTTAATTGTATATATTTAAATAAAAGTTTAATGACATGAACGCTATGATTACAATTGCAATGCTTTGTGATAGCCTTGATAGAGACCTACGATTACGATTCCTCACTGCACCAGGTGCTATTTTAATATTAACAAGAGAGACAGGCTATCTGCCCCGCTTGAGGCCGGCCAAGGAAACTACTAGGTCACTGTGTCGGAAGCGTAATCTCCAACTATTGAGGTTGTGATAGGTCCTTCTTGTAGGGCATCGCCATGTATCCACTCCATGTATCCACTTCATGTACTGTCCATTCCCTAAGCAGTCTACTGCCTTTGAGCTTATTGCAATCATAATCATATCCAGAATATTAGAATTATGAGAAAGATTGCTCTGAAATATATTTTTCCACCCGAACAATATTTCCAATAGATAAAATTTGGATATTGTCTACTATTCCTTCTACATAACACCTATGTCGTATAGTCCGTCGTATAGGCCCCTTTATATCAAATTATATACATCCGCCTGAAAGTTCGTAAATTACTTCATCTCATCGTAACATACAAATATTATATTTATGAAAGTTTTCGGAATTGGGGCGTTTTCAATTAAGAGATCGGAAAACTTTGGCAATTTAATTAGGTACTAAAAATTCATGAATACCCATTTGCTTTCAACTTGTATCGAAAGATAATTAATATGCTCAAAAAGTCGAAAAAAGGTGGCCTAAAAAAATATTGGTCCGTTTGGCGTGACATTCACCCCGAAAAAGTTAAAATAAAGAGGTTCAAATGCTCCAATATTTTTGTAGGCTACCTTTTTTTTTTTTTTTTTTTTTTATTTTGTGGGATCATATCATCTTACGATTCAAGTGGAAAGCGAATGAGTATGAATTTTTAGTACCTAATTAAATAGACAAAGTTTTCCATTCTCCAGATTGAAAACGACCAAATACAGAGAATTTTCGCAAATAAAATATTTGTAGGTTACGAAGAGATGAAGTTAGGGTAATCAAAAGGGTTACTACTCCCCTTTTTTGTAGTATATATGAGAAACTGTATCAAAAATTTAATTTAAAAATTAATTAATTAAAATTAAATTAAAAAATAAGCGGTTTGTTTATCTCGTCTTATGAATAATTTTGGTTTTTGTATTTGCGGGCTATTGCAACGTGATTGTCGATTTATAACATTACAATTCTTTTCATGTCATATACTTTTGTAATAATAATATGAACTTTGCTTTAAATTATGTATCTAAAAATTATTTATTATGCAAGTGTTTACCTTACTTTGAGCCTTATTATTTTCCAGTATCATTCCACTTCATTGAATAAATCAGAATACCAAGAATTGTGGTTTTTCATAAAATATACAGTCCCTTAGTAAAAGTACAATGTCAGAGCTGTTTAAGATTTTTTAATATTACCGTAAACCAAGGTTACTTTGAGGGTGACTTTGTACTACAGTTTAACTTGAATACGAAATTACCTGAGGCGCTGAAAAATTGTTGAGAAGGAGTTGGTTGGGGGGTGCGTTAAATAAATACTAAATTTTTAAAAGATAGTATGTTTAATTGTTACGCTGACGTTTCGACCCACCTTGCATGTCTTCATCTGTGCGTGGCAACAAGCACAGCAGAAAGCAGTTGATAGCCATTTTAAAACATTTTTGATAAATATGATAAAACATGTTGATAAAATATTTTTGAGTTTAGACGCCTTTTATTTATTACTGATATAACAATGTTCCAGTCCGCCAAGTGATTTCAAAGTGAAAAAAAAATCTAATACATAATCACCTCTAACACCAAAGTAACCCTGGTTTAAGGTATCAATTTTACTATTCATAATTAATGTTTATTTTAAATGTCTTAACTGATTTATTAATCTAGAACTTTTATGTTTCAGGTGAGTATTTACTGAATATTTTCATCAAGAATACTCCTTGTAAGTAGTTTATTCTAAATTCTTTCTTCCTCCCAACTTTGAGTACTTACTTACCTTATCTACCTTTTGTAGATATTTATATTTTATATTTATGTATTTATATAGGTTTCGATAAATTTATTTAATATTTTATTTCGATGAGAAAATGAATCCTTCGTTGTTAATTGAATGTTTCATCTACTATTGTTAGGAATTTTGTTTTTTTCCCAGTTAATATATTAAAATCTATACATGTGCACTGTTGAGCTAGAAAAAATTTTAATTACAGCAACAGTAAAGCAGCTCGGTTTAATCTTATCCGTCATTTTTCCTCATTCTGATGTTCACTATTTTCTGGCCGAAAAAAAAATCCTTCTAAAACTGTAGTAGTAGTTAGTTCCTAAAAAGTTGATAAGTGAATATGCTCTGAATGAAATGTAGGAGTTTTCGAAACTATAGTCAATGATGTATAGTATAAAGGTGGTTTAGTCAATAGTACTTAGGTCAATGGTTGTGCAAAGTGTCAAGTATTTATTTAATTGAAAGTGCCCTCTCTATAGAGGCTGGGTTTGCCCCGTGAGGGTCTCCTGGCACGATTGTCGATTCACGGCCGACGAAACAGAATAAATAATTCATCTGCCATCAGCCGAGTTTGAACCTGGGACCTCGATCATTGGAAATTAGCGCCATACTACTGATGCACCCCACTCCCAGGAGATTCTAAAATGGCCACAAAATACACCCCGATCCTTCCTCTGAAGACCTTCGATACACTGAAATCTTATTTCCGGAAAAAATAAGACTAATAAAACAATTTTATTCGAAAAGTCGTATTTATATTATAGTTTCACTAATAAATTATAAATACAAATCTTAAATCTCATCAGTAATGCATGAAAAATGAATTCAGCCTTAAGAGGAGAAAAATCAGAGACAAGACCAAGTATTACATGGAATGTCAATAATGTAGTCAATCGAATGAATGCAAATTTGAAATAAACTTGTTTATTGCTCAACGAATTGAAAATCGATTGCCTGGATTAGAACTGATATTGTTGAGAAGTTAATACAGCGTTCTAACAACCGATACTCCTCGCAACGACGCCATTAATTGAATGAAGTGTCGAGTTTCTGATGAGGTAGCGAATCATAGTGATTAGGTCGGCTCTGTGGTTCCAGTCACGTTGTGCAGCAGCCTAAGGGGTATTCCGTACATAAGCAGTAATTTTATGAAACTATAAAGGTTTTGCAATAGGATATAAGCAGATTACATTGTTCTAAAATCTATACATGTGGAAAAACACACAGCTATTTGCTAGAAGGAAAACCCCCGCCGATGTGTGCCAGCTGCCGACAATTGTCAAGCACATTTGACAGACTGTGCACTACACCAGGACATCAGAAGAAGACGTGGAATCAATGCAGAGGATCTAAGAACATTATTAGAGAAAGACAATAAATGCAATGATCAAATCATACAATTTGTAAAAGAAATAAAAGTGTTTAAAGAATTGTAAACGTTACAAACGAATGGCGCCTCTAGCCTAATGTTGCCGTACATGCCACCCTAATGTCAAATAAATATAAATTGGTTACAAAGATAATTTAATCATGTTTATATTAAGTATCTGGAATGCTCAGAGAGATGGTTAGAGAACTTCAAGAAACTAAAGAGTAGTGAACGGGTTTATAGAGTATATCCATAGAACCATCGTGTTCTACTAAAATCAAAATGTTTTTTAAATACATTTAAGGTCAGATAAAATTATTCCATAAAAATTATTCCATAAAAATTATCTCATAAAATTCAGTACTCCGTAGATTAAAGTCTTCCGATGTAGGTTTTAAAGTTCATTCGCGTTTGAACTCGCCGTGATAATGTTACATGGCCATATACCATATAGCACTACGGGTTTATGCATTGCAAAAAATATAATGTACATCAATAACTTTTAATTTATATTTCTTGGTATATCATTTCTAAACCTATATCATTTGGTATATCATTTCTCTTCGCTGTCCAAGCAGGACCTTATTTTCTCATTTTATTTTCTCTTATATAATTTTCTCAGGCCCCGTCAAATATTAAATTTGCCACCAAAACTAGAATAAGCCTTTTTAAATTATGCAAGAAGAATAAGTAATTTTATTACATAATAGTCCGCGGAACTGATCTTATTTTATCGAATTATCAACATCTATATAACACTTCAACTAGAATGCCGTCAACTAAACCTTTTTTATCAACGAAAATTCTCAGAAATGGGGCGTTTTCTTATCAAATTAATGAAATACTAAAATTCATGAATACCCATTTGCTTTCAACTTTAATCGTAAGATAAGCAAAAAAGGTGGCATAAAAAAATATTAGGCTGTTTGGCGTTTATAGGACCTCCCAAAATTTTAAATGAATTTACACGAAAGATTTTAAATGAATAAAAAACCCAGTTATTTTTCTTTAAATTGTTATTTTTTATTGAATCATAAAGCACACATGATAGGGTTGTGTATGAAATAATACATCCGGCAACTGGTCTACACGTCTTTGCTGACACATATGTCTTTAATCTTCTATGACAATTTAGCAAACATGTGGCTGAATTTCATTGATACAGCGTTGATGTTCCTCCTTCAATGGATGGGTATTTGTGGACTTGTTGGTGTAGACCTTTGGCTTCGAATGACCCCATAAAAGAAACCCAATAGCGTCAAATCAAGCGATCTAGAGGGCCAATGCTTATCACCGAAACGAGAGAGTACACAGCCAGGAAATATCTCATGAAGTAATTGAAGTGTTTCACGGACTGTACAGCATGTGGTACCGTCTTCTTGAAATTAATTTAGACAGAAATAATTATGTTATCATGTCGCGATATCGAGCACCAGCAACATTCACTGCTTGTCTAGTTTCATTTTCCAAAAAGTATGGTCCAGCATAAAATTCAGCATAAAATTCTCACCAAACAGTGACACGTTGAAGATGCATTTGTTTTTTGACAACATGTGGGTTTTCTGAATTCCAAATGCGGCAATTCTAGCTATTAACAAAAAACTCGAGGTAAAAATCTTTTTTTTAAATCCAATTGTTGATGTTCATAAATCCATTAAACGAGCTCTCTTCGCTGTGCATGGTGTTTGGGCTTTAGTTCTCGTGTCTATTAAACTTTGGATAAGGATGGAGACGCAGATCTTCAGTGAGTATACGCTCTAGAGAGGTTCTTGGAAATCGCAATTCTTGTCCACGGCGCCGGATTGATGTTAGACTTTCACTAGTACTCTCTTGCACAGCTTCGATTTTGACTTAGGAACTGCTTACTTTTGGTCGACCAGTGTGTTTAACTTCACCAATTGATGCAGTCTGCTTGAACTTCACGGTTGATGAAGTTAAATCACTATTCCGACCATATTTTGCACGACATTTTAGAACTCTGGCCGCAAGACTTTCATTATTTTTATAAATATTGTTCAAGAATGGAAACACGCTATTTGCTTTTATAACGATCCATTTTTACTGGCCCTAAACTATCAGCTGTTAAATTGGCAATGAAAAATAAAACAAAAGAAAAAAGAACTATGTTTTATATCTAATTTAAATCTTGCGTTAATTTCAGGACACCCTTTATAACCATTTGATGTGTTGAGGGTAAAGGTCACCCCAAACGGCCTAATATTTTTTAAGGCCAACTTTTTTCCTCGAGTTTATGATCAAATTAACTTCCAAATTCCAGTAGAAAGTAAATGGGCCTTCGTCAATTTTTAATACTCCGTTAAATGGACAACGCTCCATTTTCGAGAATATTCGTTGATAAAAACGTAAAATGGTTGTTAATAATTTTATAAAAAGTCGTCTGCAACGCAGACTATAAGTGTCATGTAATATAAGAAATATTATCTTTCCTTTATTTTAATATTATAAGTTAAAAAATAAAATCTTGCATGCCAGTCCGTTCGGATTCCAGAGCTGCAACCCAAGAGCTGTCCCATCCCGACAAGGCTCCTCCAAGTTAGATACTTGTACTTCCTCACATATTAATGGATATAAAAATATCCTGGTTTGCTCAATACATTTTTTCAATACCACGTCGTTAATGGGAGATCCAAATACGATCAAGGATGCAGCGGCTAGGCGGGGCTAGACTCGCTCTTTGTTCGCCGAATGACTCACGTTTGTGACGTCGCCGACAGATGACGTCATGATGCAAGACCAACTTTCCCGCCTCAGGAGCCGAAAGGTCACCACCACCTTTACCTGAGACATTTCCTGGATCCATGCGTCATTGCTATCCTCTTCTTAAAAATTGCAGGGAAGAAAAAATTGAGCATTGTCCGTATATTTTTTGTTTAAGACTGCTAAGTGGTCAGGTTCCAAGAATACCAATTTTCTCTATTTTTTAAGCTTTTGTTTTTCTTTTGCATCCTCAGAGCGTTTTTCTTATAACTAATAACGTTAATTTATTTTAATGCTCTTGCTCCTAACATTAATCTTTTCCTGCACCAATGAATAAAAAGTAATTACTCTGTATAATTTTAATAGGTATAGATTTATTTATTTTTTACTTATTTATATACATATATATATATTTGTCTTCAATTCTTCACCCGCACCTATCATGGTAGTGACAATTAGCAGATTTGTTGTTAAGTAGAAAACTGCATGATTTGCATGACGAAGAATGGAGCCCGGGAGCAACGCTTCCCTGGTCTGTTTACATCCTAAAATAAAGAAAGAAGATCCCTCATCCAGCTCCTTTTCAGTCGCCTCCTGATGAGCATTTCAGCCATGGCCATGTCATTGCAAAGTCCATTGTGATGTCCGTGTAGTTTAAGATGAAATCGGTAGTAGAGAGTACGTATGTGCTGGTCAATGGTTGTTTGTCTTAGGTCGGTATGTAAAGTCTTGTTGTTGACATACCAGGCAGCTGCAGTTATTAGTCTTTAAATTTTAGAGCATTATTTATATAAATGCTCTATTTTCGTACTTTTGTTTGAGGAGCTATTAGATAAAAAAAAGTATAGGGAAGGTTGAAGGGGATTGTTAAAAAAATATTTTTTTTCCGCAGTGAAGGTGTCTAAAAAAATTCCTCTGTTAGGTGAACTATAATTACAACGATAATTAATTACTATTTGATTTTTTTTTTATATTTAATTTTTTTGGCCACCATATTTAAATTTTTTTAAATACTAATGGTATCTGGCGAAAATGTTTTTCTAAAAATATATTATGATGTTTTAAATGAGAATTTTAAAACTCATTTTTATTTAATGTGACAACAAATATTAATCACAATTTGATTTTTCTTTTTATAATTAATTATTTTTAACTATTTATACTTTCAAAAGTACAAATGAATTCTGATGAGATGTTTGTCTCAGAATATATATTCTGATGTTTAAAATAACAATTCAATAAAGCACATTATTTATTTAACGGGTAATATTATAGAAAGATAAAAATTACACTATAATTTTTTCATTTTTGCTTAACGCTTTCTGTTAATCTCAAAATTTCAAAAACCTTACAATGTAGCCATTGTACATCACATTTTATGTTATCAGTCTTTCAACATCACCAATAAATTTTATTTATATTAAAATATTTATAATACTTTAGCATATGTTTGTTACCTCTTTTATTTTTCATTAAATGGGTGATGAAATCAATAAGTTAAACAAAAATGACAAATTATGAAAGTTATTTTAATCTTTCTATACAATTATGCATTGACAATTACGTGACTATCATCAATCATAATTATATATATTCCTTCATATTTTTTTTGGATCGTTTCATTTTTACAAACATTTTAAGAATTTCATAAAAAATCATTTTCAACTGTTTTTGTTTTTTTAAATTAATTTATATTTGAGTACAAAACCGAGAATACCTGTTGTGCAACATTTGTTACGACAAAAAATGCTTCATTCTAATTTTAAGGTTGTCCACAGTCAATTTGACCAAATGAAATGATAATAAGGCTCTTGAAAACTCCACGAACAATATCAATAACACAGTTTTCGTTTTTGGAGTTCTAAAAAAAAAAAAAATATATTCGCGAGTTTTCCCTTACTCGTCCCAATAATATAATAAAAATTGTATTCAGTTCCACGAATAAACTCAAGATACTTTCCAAGTTGGATCAAATAAGGTTCAGTTCGTAATTTCAATTCCGATCCCTTTCATCTTCTAATTAAATACTGTGTTTACGAGAGCAAAAGCAAAATTACAATGTATTTGTAAAATTTTACAAGGTGGAATTTAAACTTTCATATAAAAAAATTATTGATATTGTAATTATTAATTTTAACCATTATCATTAATACAGATATCAGAACTCCGCGATGAGGTACAGATTCAATGATCGGTGCTCCAAATTACAGATATCAAATACCTTGGCTATCGAACTATTTTAATTTATCGTGTATCAGTAAGGTTTCGATCATTGGTTTTCGGATCGGTTAGGATAGCCATAAATGAATATCTTTGATGTTCATTTGAACCAGTTTTGATATATATCTGTAACACTATTCCATATTTTCCACGTGCGTTTTAAAATTTTATATTTTTAAACACATATACTTCAATACATAAAAACGAACAAAAAATAAAACCTGTGTCCCGATACTATAGGTTTTATCTAGTGCCTCCTATCTATTCTATTAGAAGAAAACATCATTTTACCTCTAATTGTCCATATATGTTATATTAACACGAAAAGAATTGCGATGGTAACAAATTTCAAACCCCTGTTTTTTACATAAATAAACAGTTTTTAGGACATTTGGGTCCAAATGTGTTTCCCGAAGTGGTCTATTAGCCCAGCTACATTAGACATGTTACCTTGCAAAAGATTGGATAATTCAAATTTATTTTTTATGTTGTTAGGTATGTAATGAATGTGAAAAATGCAAGTTTCTCTTGAAAGCATTGTGGGTTTGCTGCAGTGCTCCAAAATCACTTTTTTTTTTTTGTTTACACAAATATATCTTTTTTAGAACAACATAAATAAAAAATGATTGTATTTAATCTTAAACAGCTTAAAATTATGTAACGTTTTTGTACATAATATTTTTTTCAAAACCCAACAGGAAGCGAACTATCGAACTTTCAAAATTTACCCATTTCGATTTATTCATAATAGTGCTCTTTCAGTTTTGAACGGAAGAAATCTGTAACTCAATTTTCAAGCTCGTTCAGATAATTTTGAGGTTTTAGCTAAAGATAACGAGCCATTGACTGGAACGGTAGACGGTAGTCGTGAGGTGTTAAGAAAAATATGTTACTCGGTGGCCAGACCCCCCTTTCGTGCACCCTCCCTCCACATCCCGATAAATTGCATATAGTTGTGTTCCTTTTAACTATTTATATAAAAAAATTCAATTTTCCGAAAAAAAAAAAAAAAAGTGGCCGCACTGTCCCAAAACGTAGCAGATAACTTGAGGTAGTTTTTTGGTTACTTAGATTCAGCATTTGGCTTAATTTCGCCATAATTGACTTTTATTAAAGTTGGATAGTTAGGCAATAATAAAATATTAAAAAATAATTGGCCTTGGCAATAAAAAACACTAGTAAAGTCAAGTTTTTTTAAGTCGTTCAAACTAAAGTTGAAAATCAAACGTCTTTTGTAAATAAATGGCCAAAAAAAACGAATAACGCTCCGAAATAAAACATCTTTAGAATATAAATTTATTTGGAAAACACTAATTACTTTTTAAAATATTTCAAGCCGTTACTTAGAAAATAAACTTAATCGACGGAAAAGCGGCACTGGCATTGGCGTCTGGAATCCTCTGCCAAATCATTAAATACTCATAAATGACATAGTTATAGTATGATTACATTAATATTTTATTGTATTGAAGAACAAATATTAAACCAATAATTTAATTTTCAATATTTTTTTTTAACTTTACTTATTTTGAAACCCCAAAAATGTTAGATAATTTTAAGCTGTATAAGATTGAATATGACTTATCTATGTCTTACTTTTCATCCATGTCGCTTTAAAAATGAGATATTTAGCGTAAACCAAAAAGAGTTCATATAAAATCATTAAAACTGAATAGAGTGAGAATCACTCACCAAGCATATAATCCTATGGTGGTATATTATTTTATGTTCATCTGGTTCAGAAAAAAAAGATTTATCGATCGTGTTCTAGGAAATTATCACTTTTCTCGTAGATCAGAACAGAATTGGAATGCTTATCCTCTAATGTAATCGTTCATTCCTTTATTGTCAGTTTATGTTAGAAATCTAGTGTTATTATTAGAATAATAATAATTGTTTTTAATTTATTAATCTTGTTCAGTATACATACTCCTAAAGGCCCCTTTTTATGAAACTATTAACATCCGCCTAAAACTTCTTGAATGGCCACATCTTATCGTAACCTGCAAATTTTTATCTCCGAAAATTCTAAGGAATGGGCCGTTTTATCATTAATTTAATTAAGTACTAAAAAATCATAAATACCTATTTTCTAATAGGTGATAATTTGATCACAAAATAGAAAAAAAGGTATGTCTAGAAAAATATTGGGCCGTTTGGCCTATATAACCTCGTTATTTTGGCCTTTTTGTGGAATGAGGTCACGCCAATATATTTGTAGGCCAAATGTTATCTCTATTTTGTGATCAAATCATCTTATTAATTATCTTACAATTCAAGTGGAAAGCAAGTGGATTGTTTTAGAAAGTAATTAAATAGACAAAGTTTGTCGATCTCCTGATTGAAAACGCCCCAATTCAAAGAACTTTCGTAAATATGATAGTCGGAAGATACAATGAGATAAATCTATTCACGGAGTTTTTGGCGGATGTTAATAATTTGATAAAGATGGGTCTGCAGCATGACCTTTTAAGTTTTGTCATTGTAGCCGGGGGTGCACATCCCTCCCAAGGTCAATGGTGCAAGAACCTACTCCCGCTTACTTCCAAGATATTTTATTGCTCACTTTTCTTAAAAACGGAGCAAGCTAATGTAGAATTAGAAAAATCGTAGATCATATACAATTACACTTGCTGCGGTATGTTCCATGTTTATCTCCTTGTCCCTTAGTCCGAAAATTCATAACTCCATCGAAATTCAAATTTCGTCAAAATATTCAAAAACCCGTCAAAATATGCCCTATTCAAAAACCCCATGAAACCCCCTTCTGGGTACCCCTGATTGTAGCTTGATATATTCATATTGTAACCCGTATTATTTCATAAAATAATAAATAAACAAGGAAACACTTATAAATATTATTTCCTTTGATAATGCTATCTC